ACAGCTAATATTCTAGACGTAATCAAAGGCTTTCGTTAATGCTGATCGAGCCCTAATGAGAGCCGTTCTTTTTATCAATGGTTCACTGCCTGCCATAAATTCACTCGCCTTTACGGAAACTTGCTTTCCTGAATGCACATTTGTAGATGATGGCATAACACATGCTGCTTGAGTAGTAGTTTGGCTGGCTGAGAGATGTAGCAAGTTATATATTTTTCTGTGAGAAAAAGTAGATGCCTTGCTCAGGGACACCTCGGTAGCACTTGGTCTTGCCGGGACTCGAACTGGTGACCTTCCAGTTGCCAAGCCAAGTCCCTATCGACTTCGCCACCATCGCCCCTTCTACTTTTAATCTAGTACAAGATCTATACTTATGCCACCTCTGTTTATAGCCTATGAAAAAACTATTAGAAAACTAAAACTAAAGCTAACGTTAGCAGATAGTGACAATGTATGCTAGTTAGCTAGCTCAACGATTCCTTAAAGGGGACCTATCATGCAAAATGCACTTTTGTGCGTCTTTTATACATGAATATGTGTCCCCGGTGTTCCAGGGAACTCACCAAGTGTCAGAAAACACAACCCTCTCTATTTTCCTCCATACCCAAATCTCTAAAAAAGGGGCTGCAACGGATCTGATAAAAACTGATCCAGATTTGAACACTGTCCTGACGTCAGGACAGTGGCGCTACGGCTATTGGGCCAACTCCACCAATCAGGAGGAGACCGCCACGGCCATTGCCATTCGAAAGCGCTGGAGACACTGTAGTACATATGCCAGGCCTGTAGGTGGTGCTGTTCTCACAGAATCAGTCCTTGCAAAAACAGGGGTAAAAAAGTGCAAATTGAGCGAAATGAGGCATGGCTAAAATGCATGATCTGTTTGGTATTTTGAAGGGGAAAAAAAGTATAAATATGCCTTATATAGGTATGGTCCTACACTATATTATTATAATATAGCATGATAGGTCCACTTTAAATAATATTGCGACAGAAAAACGTTTCAGTTCACATCACGCTCTGCCGCTCCGACAGGGAGCTCTGCTCTGAACACCTGAAAGGCCCGTTCTAACAGCTGTTCACCAGCGGTCCAGTCTGTGCCACAGTGACTCCGGACCGCACAGTTACTATTAACGAACGCACCGTAGGTAATGTAGCTGCTGAAGTTAGACCCTCATGCCGGAGCAGCAGAGTTCAGCCGACAGACAGGAAGACTCGAGCACACAGCTCGCGCTTCATTATAATATATACAAAAATAACACCATGTGCGTCATGATGGCACATAACAGCTCGCGGCCGCAGATTACTCCGGGTCCCAGACCCCCCCCCATAAATATTTTTATTGCAGATCTACATGAATCACACAAACTACCTATTTTGGATTCAAAACGGCGAATTTCGCCGAAAGGTGACAAGCTTGCATCCCTGAACTTTAGTGTTTACTACAACACCTTATACAGCCAATGCATGGCATGTTCAGCAATGCCCCTATAAAAAATAGAGACACGCCTGTTCTCTGCATGCCAGATTTCTTATGCACGCTTGTGTATCAGTGTCCATTAGTGTCTCTGAGAAACACAAACATGGAGAAGGCTTCTCACAACATTTCAACACTGTGACCGGGCCACACAGTGCAGCGGGGATCTGCTGCCAGAGATTACAGTATGCAATGTGATAGGGCCTCACATTTGCTAAGGGTCATGAAGGGCAGGGGCTGCCAAAGTGCACAGGCCCAGTCACACATGGCCCGGTCCACTTGTCCAGCTTGTTGTTGGCTCTGAGATCGGCTGTGCACATGATGCACAATGTCTGATTGTTCAGGAAATCAAATTAATCCAGCAAGCAGAAAAAACAGAAACAAACCTCGGAGTTGACGGACAAACTGGGTTTAGTTTGCAGCTATAAGTCTGAACTCTATAAGACCCTGAGAGGTCAATAGCCTCTACAGATACAAGAAACCAGGAAGGAAAAAAAGAAGAATTTAATCATGAGCTGCTCCAACCACAAGCAAATGTGTGAGAAACCTCAGTCGGCTGCTGGAGCTGCCAGCTGAGATGCCAACAACCTGGCCTGGTTCAGCAGAGCAGCTGCAGGTACTCACACACACACACATGCTATCTTTTACTGATGGCACACAACCTAATAAAACAACTAGAGTTCATATTGAAATTAGTAGACTGTTCTAATTCAATACTGTAACGTTAGCCACATTTACATCAATTTAAATGTTTATCTTGTGACATTAACTATACTGTCTCAGTGTTTAATAGTATAGAAAAAATTGGCCTTCAACGTAAGAACAATTTCTCGTTTTAAATTCTCTTTTTTTCTTCAAACCAACGTTCCAGAATGTAAAGATACTACATTTACATTGTTTTCAAAAGAAAAGAAAAAAAACTAAATACGTACATTTTATAAGTAGAGCTGCAATCATAGTCAACTATAAGTCAGAGAAATACTGCCAACAATTGAGATAATTGATTTACAGTCATTTCATTTATCTCAAAATGGCATAAAAGGGTGTTTTTAGACTTTCAGGTATGAACATTTTTATTATTTTTCTTCACATTTAATAAACCAATCGATTAATGTAGAAATTAGTTGTCGGATTATTCTATACTGAAATAGTTGCAGCCCTATTTAGAAGCTAGTAATACATGATTTCCAAATCTAAATTGTTGACATTTTATTTCAGTTGATTCATTGACTAAATGTTTCAGCACATGAACATTTTTTAATGGTAAGTCAGTCCTATGACACTGCTTCTTCCCAGCCAAGTCTGCAGGAGGACATAATGAAAAGCGTTTGACCGGCAGCCGTGCAGTCACAGAGCGACACACTCTGGGTCGGGCAGCTCGGGGTCCTGAAACAGCGTGAGCCAGACATCATAAACCAGAAAGGCTCAGGCCTGGACTTGCTGGATGTCTGCATGCTGCCTTTGTGTGAAGCCATCTCCTCACATGTACAGTGCCATAACAATGGCTACAGTATTTGGGGACAATGGTGATGAACTGGATTGTGAAAACATGATTGATAAGTAGGTCATGTCTTGTTGTCACCACGTGAGGCATGAACTCAAACAATCCTGCTCAACTGTACTGACTTAGTTCATAGCTGGGTTTCTGGGAGTGCTTAACTGTCCTTGGGCTATTTCTACATTACGTTGATACTAGGATCTACAGAGAGTGAGTTTCACTAGACAAGGCATGACATTTGACAAATGTATACCTTATGTCACAGGGAGACCTTTTATAGACACATTATTAATCTACCCCATTATTAAGCTCCTACTAGGATACACTTAACAACTCATACATTGTTAATACTACTACAGTTCCATTAGGAACATGTATGAACAGTTTTCAGCATTTATATTTTACAAGATTGAGGCAATCTGATCTTGCAAACTTTTTCACGATATTTTAGAAGCGCCAACATCAAGGCAGGGAATACAATTCTAAAAGCTATCGGATCCATATGCTTGGAACAATACAACGCATTGCAAATGTGCATGATACCGTGCGCACAAAACAAAGAAGAGAAAAGATCACTATGCCTTAAGTTAAATTCTGTTTAACAGTCATAAAGACTTGGTGGTCCTCCAGAAGGACCCTTTCATTTGGACTGTGTGTGTGTAAACTACGAATGGATCCAAGTAGCTTTAGTATCATTGTGTCAGGCCACTACGTGGGCTGAGTTAATGCTGACAAGTGTGTGCTGCCAAACGCAGAGCACAAGGTTGTGAGATGAACGAGCCCTCCCTCCTAAACTCTGCTCGCCAGCAGCTGATGAGCTCCCCCTGGGGATGGAGCAGCCGCTGAAGAGCACCTGCCCTGACTGTGAGGAAGCGAGGTCCTAATCTCTCTGCAAAATCCACCCAGTTAGGGGAATGTGCAAACTAAGGCAGTCCTGACATACTGTGGTCCATGACCAACTCTGCTAGCTGCCTGGAGAATTCAGAGCGCTCGCCTGTGGCCCAGCCCTGATACCCACTGACTATAGCTCTCATCAATGCCCTGCAGCAGGCAGGGTGCCAGCTTCACCACTCAAAGGGTTGTCAGCTATCTGACATGTGGGGGAAAGCAGAGACTGTAAAAGGCAGCATGGCACAATGCATCCATGGGTGGCATGATCCAAAAATAGAAACCCAGTGAAGGAGTTATGGGAATAGAAAACTTGAACATGAACATTTTAAGCAAAGTGACCGCATTCTACATAAACTGTTGTGGCTGGAGCAGCATTTAAATGTTGTCTAAGCATTTCCTTGGCTGACTGGTAGGTGTTTACTAGTGAGTGGGACAAATGGCCCTGTAATTTGTATTTAACCCTACATGTAGGCGTGCATCATGAGCATTTCAGATACATTTAACATCACAATATCGTCTGCAAGTGAACCAAACTATAACGCTCTCAGTAGTCTGCATAATGTTACACTCGCGTTAGCTGAGAATTTAGAGTTTTTAGAGTTTTTTCAAAGTCAAACTCTGACTGAAAAAGAAACACAAAGGAAACAAAATTGAACGGCAAACTGTAACAAAATAAGGTTTGTCTTTCTAATTTTAAGCTATGGAAACACATTGTGACTGTGAACGGATCTTGTTATCATGTTGCGGGACGCAGACTATTCAAACTGTAGCAGCGCTCATGCTAGCGAGCAGCAAGCCTTCGGTGCATTTTCGACATTAATTTTAATCAATATCCGTCGTGTAAAAACATGTATGGACGATTTTCTAAACGGCTTCAAGAGTTGCCTTCGTTTTAACCTGACAATCATTACATTTAGTCCCCACTACTACCCGCGCTACCTTTGGAAAAGCAGCCCATGCTAAACAACGAAGCTAGCTCGCTAGCATGCCCGAGACAAAAGCCTGAATGAAGTTCCTGTGAAACCCCATCCAGGTGCCGCTGAGCTCCAGGAGTGTGGACGCCTGGAATCAAACACAAGTATCGATTCACAAAAACCCTGACAATGTGCGCCTCCTGAAGAAAAATGAGCTTACCCCTCCTGGTCCAGCTTTTCTTTCTTCTCTGCTCTGTTTGAATGGTGTGTTGTTGTAGGAGGGCGTCCTGTTCCGGGGTCACATCCCTCCAGTCGGCAGAGCTTCGGCGGACTGACTCGACGCAGCGAGAGTCCTGCTGGAGCTTCAGTACCGACACCGGCCACCGGGGCCGCCACCGGCCCACACTGTACAGGGCTGCTGGAGCTGTTAGCAAACCAGTGGTGGGATGTACCCAGCGCCATATAGAGCTATTATACGGCTCTGGATGTACCTATTGACATTAAAGGTCCCCTATTATACTGTTTTTCATCAATATATTATAAGTCCCACCGTCTCAGATATATACAAAACATGTCTCTGAAGTGTTTGGCTCGAAATAACAAGCAGATCACCCATTGTAGCATCCCATAATCCCCTCTCTTTCAGCCCTGTTTCAAAAGTGCTGATTCTCTGTCTGTTACTTTAGATGAAAATAAGGGGCCACTCCCAACGCCCCTCTGCGAGATATTTGGTTAAAAAGAACATAATGGTGCTCTAGGAGGAGATTCAGGTGATAAGGTTGGCGGCAGTTACCTTGGTTGGTTATTGGCTAATGGTTACACAAGCCAAAAAATTGTTAAGACATCATAAAGTGGCCAAAATCTAATCAGCTTATTTTTCAGAAAGGTTTTTATATAAATGGATCAGGACAAAAAGTGAGCGAATATTTTTTCCTGAAACTTTCAGAATCTCTTTACACAGAGGGGACACATGTTTAATTATAAAATACATGAAAAAGTGCATTTAGCATGATAGGTCCCCTTTAAAGAACCGTAAGTAAGTTTATAAGGCACTTGTACATTACGAGAATATTTTCCATTTGTATTGTAACTTTTAATATGGATTTGTAGTTTATAATCCAATTAATTTATCTGACATGCAAATTACTATTACTATTGTTCACTTTTCAATTTAAAGTGGACCTATTATGCTATATTGGAAACATATATTGTAGGGCCATACCTATACAAAACATGTCTGTGAAGTTTTTTGCTTAAAATACCAAACAGTTCACCCAATTGTAGCCATGCCTCATACTGCTCATACCCCTCTTTTGCAGCCCTGTTAGAGAAACGCGGATTTTGGGTCCTTAGCTTAAAAAAAAAAAAAGAGGAGGCGGAGCTAATGCCTGATCAGTATTCTACCGGAGATAAAGTTAAATTCTGCTGGGATAAAATGCCATCCTGTTCTAAACCACATCAAGGATTATTTCTGAAACAGTATGGAGCTCAAATGCTTTTTCTCTTGCGGGTTTATCACAAGGTGAGTTCCTTTTTTTATTTCCTGCTTTTTAAACACATGTGCTCTCAGCGGTTCTCAAACGGTGGTCCGCGAAAAAAGGAAAAAAAAACAAAATCCACTTTTTATTATCAAGGATTTTCGCGGAACACCTCATAGGCAAACTGTAAAAATAAGTACATATATAAACGTAGTGTTAAAACGCAGATATTTGTTATTGTTAATTATGGACAACACTTAATTTCACCACTGGTTACCCATGGTTATGTGTGCGCGTGCAACACCACAAACATGGATCGGTGGCTAGCATCAGGTTCTCTGAAGAGAAAAGAGGTTAACGTTACCGTTAATGAAGATAATACGAGTGAGTCGGAGGCATCTACAAGCCAGATTCTGCAGAAAAAAACAAAGAAAGGGAAGATTAAGAGAAAATACAATGGGAATTATTTGGAACTGGGATTTACCTACACAGGCACTGAAGATGAGCCTTTGCCAGTATGCATTCTGTGCTACGAGACACTGGCTAACGAGAGCCTAAAACCATCTAATCTTTGCCGTCAATCTTGGAATCTGGCACTACGTTTATATATGTACTTATTTTTACGGTTTGCATATGAGGTGGTCCGCGGAAATCCTTGCTAATAAATAGTGGTCCGCATAAACAAAAAGTAGAGAACCCCTGCTCTACAGTACAGGTTAGCTCTGAGTGTTAGCGAGGCTTGCTAATGTAAACAAAGATGAGATTACGTCCAAAACACGTCAGGCATTGTTTCTGATAGCAACTTTCTGTGAGTCCGCCGCCGATTTGACGTCATATCGGCAGCAAATCTGTATCCGCTCGTTGTACCCCAGTTTTTAAAAGATTTGGGTACGGAGGAAAAGAGAAAGGGTTTTATTTTCTGATGCTGCGTGAGTTCCCCGACACACCGGGGACACATATTTATGTATAAAAGACATCAAAAAGTGCAATATTAAATTAAACCGTGGAGTAGTCGAGCATACAATGGGAATACTCAAATAAAGTACCTCAAAATTGTATACTTAAACAAATGCACTTCCATCCCACCTCTGCTAAACACACATCTCATAAAACCTTGTGTGTGTGTGTGTGTGTGTGTGTGTGTGTGTGTGTGTGTGTGTGTGTGTGTGTGTGTGTGTGTGTGTGTGTGTGTGTGTGTGTGTGTGTGTGTGTGTGTGTGTGTGTGTGAGGGGGGGGCTACTTATAGGAACCTTACCTTATTTCTTGGTTGTCAAATATTGTTCCCCATTTCCAAAAATATGTTTTTTAGGAGGGTTTTATATATTAGTGTAGTTCTAATGTAGATTTGTAGTTTTTAGGCTATCTACCCTGCAAGGAAAATATTACCCACACACATTTAAATGTTTCATTATCAAACCTTTTATACCCTTTTTTGAAATTATTTAAAGATATAGCCCACATGTATGCTTATTCTGATGTTCATAATACAAAAAACAATCAAAACATTTAGCTGCGTTTTAAATACATACAGTCTTGGTCCACTTTTCATATTCTGTGCATATAATACATATCTATGCTCAAATATATATGCTAGTTACTAATTTTGTAATGTGATTGCACAAAAAATAAAGAACTGTGGAAACACTACACCGACTTTACCATAAATCTTCCAAAACTGCCCAGCGTACACATAAGATAAGGAATAGAAAATGCTTATGTGAAGTGTAAACTCTTACAAACTCGTACACTGGGGGTTACTCAAGAAAAATGGAAAGAGGGTTGACTTTAGTTTATCTGGCCTTCATCCATACTCAGCCTTTTTTAAGCTGCATTGAATTAAGGCTATGGTTAGGGTCTTAATAAGTATCAGTTAGCTCTGCTGTGGCAAACTGTTTATTAAGTGTTTCTTACTCTCAAGCAAGTGAACCAACTTTAAAAACAGGATGCAGATAAAGGTATATATAGCTGCACACATGAAAATAAGGCCTGAACATTTATCTGTTTGTACCATTTGACAGAATTCATGAATAATAATCAAGTCAAACAACAGCAGTATATTTTACAATTTGCAAAATCAGCTCATCATTTAAAGACTTACTCCTCCTGGCTTGAAGCAGTTTACTGAGGGACATTGATGAGCCATATGTAAAGCCTAATACATATTGAATATTTTAGTAACTTAAGGAAAATAAAATGTATTGCTGTGTTTTCTACAGCCTTATGTTCAAGTCATGATTGAACAGAGATTTATAACAAATATCACCATCCATCCATCCATCCATCCATCTTCTCCGGCTTATCCGTGGTCGGGTCGCGGAGGTAGCAGTTCCAGCAGAGAGCCCCACACTTTCCTTTCCCTGGCCACATCAACCAGCTCTGACTGGGGGATTCCAAGGCGCTCCCAGGCCAGCGAAGAGATATAATCCCTCCACCTGGTCCTAGGTCTACCCCTCGGTCTCTTCCCAGCTGGACGTCCCTGGAACACCTCCCTAGGGAGGCGCACAGAGGGCATCCTTACTAGGTGCCCGAACCACCTCAACTGGCTCCTTTCGACGCGAAGGAGGAGCGGTTCAACTCTGAGTCCCTCCCGGATGACTGAACTTCTCACCTTATCCCTAAGGGAGACGCCTGCCACCTTGTGGAGAAAACCCATCTCGGCCGCTTGTATCCGCGATCTCGTTCTTTCGGTCATGACCCATCCTTCATGACCATAAGTGAGGGTAGGAACGAAAATGGCCCAGTAGACAGAGAGCTTTGCCTTCTGGCTCAGCTCCCTTTTCGTTACAACGGTGCGGTAAAGCGACTGCAATACCGCTCCCGCTGCTCCGATTCTCCGGCCCATCTCACGCTCCATTGTACCCTCACTCGAGAACAAGACCCCGAGATACTTGAACTCCTTCACTTGGGGTAAGGACTCATTCCCTACTTGGAGTGGACAGTCCATTGGTTTCCTGCTGAGAACCATGGCCTCAGATTTGGAGGTGCTGATCCTCATCCCAGCCGCTTCACACTCGGTTGCGAACCGATCCAGTGAGTGCTGAAGGTCGCAGACCGATGAAGCCATTAGAACCACATCATCTGCAAAAAGCAGTGGTGCAATCCTTAGTCCACCGAACTGCAGACCCCCTCCCCCCCGACTACGCCTCGAAATCCTATCCATGTATATTACAAACAGGATTGGTGACAAACCGCAGCCCTGGCGGAGGCCAACCCTCACCGGAAATGGGTCCGACTTTCTGCCGAGGACCCGGACACAGCTCTCGCTTTGGGAGTACAGAGATTGGATGGCCCTGAGTAGAGACCCCCTCACCCCATACTCCTGCAGCACCTCCCACAGTAACTCCCTGGGAACCCGGTCATACGCCTTCTCCAAATCTACAAAACACATGTAGACCGGATAAGTGTACTCCCAGGCCCCCTCCAGGATCCTTGCGAGAGTAAAAAGCTGATCCGTCGTTCCACGACCAGGACGGAATCCGCATTGTTCCTCCTCAATCTGAGGTTCGACAATCGGCCTGACCCTCCTTTCAAGTACCTTAGAGTAAACTTTCCCGGGGAGGCTGAGTAGTGTGATGCCTCTATAATTGGCACACACCCTCTGATCCCCCTTTTTGAAAAGGGGAACCACCACCCCGGTCTGCCACTCCTTCGGTACTGTTTCCGACTTCCACGCAACGTTGATGAGACGTGTCAACCATGACAGTCCCTCAACACCCAGAGCCTTCAGCATTTCTGGGCAGATCTCATCCACCCCCGGGGCTTTGACACTGTGGAGTTGCTTGACTACCTCAGTGACCTCCCCCCGGGAGATTGGTGTTGATCCCCCGTCATACTCCAGCTCTGCCTCTACAATAGAGGGCGGAGTTGTCGGGTTCAGGAGTTCCTCAAAGTGTTCCTTCCAACGCCCTAACACTCCATCAGTTGAGGTCAACAGCGT